GGATGAGTTCTTGGACTCAATCACCGTTTCCAGCGATGACTGAGAGCTGTTGTCATTCGTGTCCAACATATCTATACTGAATCCGTCTGACAGACCATTAATAAGACCAATCAATTCATATTCAAAACAATTCATCGCATCGTATAATACCATTCATACCATTCATGTTTTCATCGATTGGTCGCAATGCATACCATTTGGTCGTATCCTTTGGTAAGTCTTTAGCCAACAGTGAATTTCGCGGCGGTTTTGGAGGTTTCAATGGTTTCGGACATATTAGCGGATTATCACACGATTTGTGTAACTTTTCACTCACTGTATACGTATGTCTGGAGGCGTCTGGAAGTGATTCAAATCAACATTTAATCCAAACACTAAACCAAACAAATACCTGAATCCTGAGAACTCTTGCGTTGAAGCGATTCCTTCGAGAGAAACAATGGCCTCAAGTAATAATCGGAACTACATTTGGACCACTGGTCGGACACCCGGTCATCAGTGGATCCGTTGCGCCGCTTATCGCCACTCAAATCGTTACTAATCTCGCCAACGGTTCCCGTATTTTGTGACTTATGGCCGGCACTGGACTCACGACCCATGGGTTGGGATCCGTCCAGCGATATGTTCACCGATCCTCTCCTGACATCACTGCCATCGCCATTGTCTTTGTCTTTGCTTTTACTGCCCGTGTATTTGCCTTCAATGCCATTAATCTTATATTTCGATGACTTTTGACAACATTTGGACAAACATTTCACTGAAACAAAAAAATAAAATAAAATTTTCAATACATTTAGAGTTAAGCGACAAATGTATGCATTGATTGCATATAAAAGCATACATTTAATGACTATACAAATCACTACAATTAATACAGCGATAGTTATGGCCACTAAGACATAGATGAGAATGGTCAGTGGATCAGGGTCATGATCTCCCATTGTATTTGTAACTATAATTGATTAGTTATTGATTGTATTGAAATGATTGACTCATTGAAAGCAATAGTGAAATGAAAACCACATTTTCAGTGAATGAATGAATGGTTGAATGAAATGCTTCACAAATAGCCTAGCTTGTGATCTCAACGGTTTTTGTAAGGAAAATGCACTCAAAAAAAATTTTGCTATTAAACAAAAAACTAAACAAAACAAAGTTTTTAAGTTTCAAAAAATAATTTTTATACAATTTTATATTTCATGTTGTAATTTATGTAC